TTTTTTTATTCCATAAAGTTCTGAGGTTAGCCTAGTTCTCATAGTACATACTCAGGCTTCTTGGCCATGGTGTGTATGTGGAAAGTGACCAAAAGTACAAATAAGAACTCTTTTTCCCTGCTGGCTGGCTAAACTGGTGTTAATGTCACAGTTTCCCAAACAGCCTATGAGGAGAGACACACAATCTACATGAACTGATTCCACAGAGGTACTAAGTAGAAGGGACTGTTCTTCACTAGGCAAACCACCACTTCATCACTGAGGAAAACGTTGAATAAAACTTTGGTGGAGTGTTTAGAGCACAAGGAAGACCCGTTAAGGGAGATGAGCTTTGTGTGTGTCAAACCTGAGAAGCTGGAGGTACCACCCAGCAGGAGTGTAGTTCATCGAGAGGAAGAATTCAGGCAAGACTTGGAAGAACCTTGTCCTCGGGGATTTAGATGAAGCTTGGCTGGGATTTTAACTGATGGCTCTTGTCCATACTTAATGCTCTGCCCCTCCATGTCACAGCACTTCTTTTTTTAATGTAAACATTTCAGTGAATTATGTTCAACTGTTTGGGTAGGAATAATACACATAGTCCTAGCCTGACAGGCTTGTGGGTGAACTCCTGCAACCCAGAAAGACTCTAGCGCCTTGTCCCACCTCCTTTCCATCCTCTTGTCTCCATCCCTGGAGACCTCATCCATTAAGACAAATTAGGGGCTGTAATGCCAGCGCTCCTAGATATGACTGACTTGTGTCCCCTTCCTCCAGAAGCCACTGTTGCTGGGGGACAGATATGTCTGTGTCAGGACTGGGGAGTCAACAGCTCACAGGTGTGAAGCTCTAGGAACTCCCCTTTCCTGGGCCACCCTTGGCCCCATACCCCCAAAACCTACCCCCCCCCAAAAAAAAAAATCAAGCCAGGAATCTTAGGAAGTGGAGAGGATAGCTCCCCTAGTTCCAGGCAGGTCTCCATTTACATAGCCTTCCTGGGGGCAGAGAGGGAGAAGGCATCTCCCCCTCCCCAGATTTCTAGAAAAACATTTGCACCAAGTGCTTCTCCACATTCTGAGTGTTTGCTAGAATGCTATCTCCTTTGCCAGCTGTAGGGGCCCAGACAAGGCAGCCCGCTTCCTCTTGTAGCCACCTGTCCTGTGGGAATCTAGCTAATCATCTGAAGCATCTAATGATTTGTATAAGAAATCTATTATTAAACTATCAGAAGGTATACTGACATGATGCCAGTTTTCAAAGACAAATGCTAACTAATTACAGTGCCTGTGTGCTATATGCAAAGAGTCTGACCATGTCCGTAAACCCTTAATGAGTCTAGAAGTTCATGTTTGGTTTATTAAGGTAGTGAGGTCTGTTTAGTTTTTCAAACTAGCCAGCTTCCTTCCAGGTGACTGGATTTCATGAAGCCTTATTCAAGATGTGACATGACTGATTTTTTAACACTGGAGTTGACTGCAACATTCACCTCTGAGGTTCCATGTTGCATAGATGCTAAGAAGCCCATTTTCCAACTATGTAAACTCTCTCATGTCTTACAATTGCTGTCAGCTCTGGTAGCATAGTGCCTAAAGCACTTGACTGCTAACCAGAAGGCTGGCAGTTCAAACCC